CACTTTTTATTCTTCGTTTAGGCTAGGATGGTAATGAAAATGGTGACATAGGATCAGGAACTGCGCCTGCCTTCTATCTAACGGAATTTTAGAAAACTGAAAAACCCAGATATCCCAATTGCTAAAAATTTATATGTAGAGTGAATACTAAGCAAAAGTTAAATTTTTAATAAATTTTAATAGAATTTCCTGGTAAACCTAAATACCACACCAAAATACTTTGACACAACAGCAAAACCAGAGCAAAAATCGCCAGAGCATATATCTGTAATTCTAAGAAATAAAACCCAATGGAGAACGAGGAGGGCACATAATCAAAAAATTTACTAAAAACTCACTTTACGGACGAAGAAAATAAAAATGATTTTAGAGAAAAATTGGCATTACGCAGAGATAATTTTTTGTATTCCAAAAGTTAGATAATATCCCTTTTGAAAATATTCATTTTGATTTTGGAAAAAGTATGTTGCTTTTTTATCGTTTTTCCGTGATTTAAAATACACTTCACATCAATGGCACTCACACCGCAAGAATTAATTTTTTAAAAGCTGGAAGTCTGTAGGCTTTTGATTTCTACGTAAAAATTACATTCTATGCAGTGCAGTGCAAAGTATGCACAACTAAGCTATAAGGCCGGATCAAACCAAAAGAACTATTCCGTTGAAAAGCTTAAGGTTCAGTTAGTATAAAATTAATTAACATAACATAACCTAATATATTGGCCAACGCAATATACTTAGGCCTCGAATACCAGATCGTGATGTTTCAAAAACTAACAATCGGCCCTGCTATACGTCTCTCTGTTGTCTGTTGTCTACACTCGGAAAAATATCATCTAAATATAAACTTATAGCAAAAAAACTTATTTATTAGTTGACATAACTAAACTTTTTTTTCTCAGTGTATGATGTGAGAATAAACCGGATTTTATGACCCTCTACGTCGAAGCCTTAAATCAAAACAAAAAGTCTTTATAACTTTCGATTATAACACTATAATATTAAGCTAATAAAACTAATCTAATACCTACTAATTCTGGATGTATAAATTAAAAAATATTTATCTTATCGTAACCCCTTGTGATTACTCGTTTGTCTGCCATTGAAGTATAAAAGCAATCAATTTCGGTCTATTACAATGTCTGTACTCGTGAGTTCCACACCATGAATATGAAACTACTAACTGTTCTCGCCGTATGCCTCTTGGGCTGCGCAATCGCGTCCGCCAGCGAAGTTGATTGGTCTAAGGTACGTTCGTTAGATGTCCACCCAGCAATTGCAGTTAATCCACGGTTGCCTTATGACCGTCTTGAAGGACGTATCACCAATGGTATTGTGGCCGAAGAGAAACAATTCCCTCATCAAGCCGGTTTATTGCTATACTTTTCTAGTGGAGCTGCGTGGTGTGGTGGCAGTTTGATCTCAGAACGTTGGATTTTGACAGCGGCCCATTGCGCAGAAGGGTATGGGTGAAATTTCAAAAAAAAAATAAATATATATAATTGAAAAGCAGTTTGGAATGTATATCTAATCGCGTCTACCTTTGTTATTTGTTTGTTCCTCACAGCGCAATTGGTGTCGACGTGTATCTGGGCGCCTGGAATCGTACCGATAAAACTGAAAAGAACCAGCAGATCATCTACTCATCTGCTAAGAATATAATTGTTCATGAAGAATGGGATGCCTCCTTGTTGCTCAATGACATTGCACTTATTAAGCTGCCAGTTGAAATTGAATTCAATGGTTTGTACACTTCTTCAACCAAATATTTGTGTTTTTTATTTTTATTTTATTTTTTCCAGACTACATTCAACCTATTGCTCTCCCCAAAATCTCGTCTACATACGACACCTATGCTGGTAAACAAGCGATCGCTTCTGGTTGGGGAAAGATTAGCGACAGTAAGTTTTAATGCCTTCAATTATTTGTGTAATAAATATGTATGTATGTATGTATGTATTTATGTTTCACACCATTTTCGTTTATGTGACAGGTGCTACAAGTGCCACCGATGTGCTGCGCTGGATTGAAGTGCCTATTTTAGAAAATCGGTCATGCAATTTATGGTTCCTCGGCTTAATTCAGTCATCAAATATCTGCATCAAAACTACTGGTGGTACTTCTACTTGCAATGGTGACTCCGGTGGCCCATTGATATACAATGATGGTGAGGAAAGCGTCCTGATCGGTGCCACTTCATTTGGCATTTCTTTGGGCTGTGAAGTTGGCTGGCCAGGTGCGTTTACTCGTATTACATCATACGTGGATTGGATTAAGGAAAAATCCGGTGTTGCCAACGAATAAAATGCAGTACTACAAAAATTTACTCAAATCTGAAGAAAAAAATAATGCCAGCAATAAAATATAGCTAATTTGAAAAAGCAACAAAAATAAGTAACATTTAATCGAATAAATCATGATTTGGGTAAGTATTTGAATTCTTGGGATGGCAACGTAAGAAATATCTAACACTTTTGAGTGAAGAGTAGTATGTAGCCTAGATCAGTTTTTCAAAATTTTTTGGAGAGAATGAAAACCTTTCAAAGTCATTTTTTTCCAATCGCTTATTTTGGCTGCATTTCTTTATTCATTCTGAACGCTTGGAATAAACTTTTTTGTTTACTTATTCTTCAGAACGTTCCTAATGATATGTCAACGTATATTTCAAACGCATTCTGTTTATTCCGGCTATGAAATGGGATTATCCGGAATGTATAAAGAAACGCAGCCTTTGTAAAAATTTTAATACAACACATCGAGTATTTTAAGCGTTGATGAACATTTTTTTTCATTCTTTGGCGCTTATCCAATTTGCTATGACTATTTTCAACTTAACAAGTTGTCTTATCCCGCAATAGAATCGGTTGGAAATAAAGCAGGCAGTTCGATGTTTTGGGAAACGATGAATTCTTAGTTGCATCAAAACATATTTGACTGAATTCGGTATCTCCAAACTTGTGAAATTACGTTGAGCAAAACTAGCAGCTCCGTCAAGCCCTGGAACAGATCGACTTTTTATTTTGCAACTTCTTTACTTTAACTCGTGAACAAAATACAGTTTTTTTTTAAGAGTATATAATTACATACATAGTGTCGTATGCCGATGATAGCGCCTCAACTACAGCACCATTTTTTCGAGGACAAATCCAAGTCATCAAGCAAACAGTCAGTGAAATGGATTCAGTCACTAACATACTTATAAATGTACATTAGGGCGGACTAATTTGTATGAGAGATTTTACCGCCCCTATGGGCATATAGCACAGAAAGACTCTACGTGTAATTCTAAGCAAATTTGCCGAAGAAACCTTGGGTCTGAAATCAATTTGGAGTTTACCAAATTGTGAAAATAGGTTTCATAGCATTTTGGCTTAGTGTCGTAAGGAAGTGCTTAAATTTTGCATAAAAACAGCTGTAAGGGGTTTTTGATATGAGGAATCCATTTATGCACTCATATTTTTTTTAAAACTTCCACCAGAGGGGGCAATAGTTAAAGTTTTCACATTTTTTGTGAAACCCATTGTCGCAATTTTGCAAACTCCAAATTGAATTTAGAGCCATGATCTCCTCGGCAAATTTGCTTAGAATTACACGTAGAATCCTCCTATGCCATATGCGCATAGTAGTTAAGAAAAAATAACCCGCCCTAATGTACATACTTATGTATCTTATCTGCCTATCCAAATCGTATGTGTTTATAAAACTACATTTGTGCGAAATATCCTCATAATCTTTCTTTAACGACACCCCCTACCCCCCTGTAGGAAAAAAAATTTATTTCCGAATTTTGTTTCTTCATATCTACCTTGTAGCGAACTAACAAAGTTACCATGGTGTTAACAATGAAGGTGTAGGTAGATAAACCTTTTCCTAGGTTTATCGCCACAACCCGGATTTCTTTGAAAACTGCATTCTATAAGTAAATAAAATCGAAACTACTGACCTAACTATCAACAGAACATTTGCGGGACTAGCTCCGTATTTTCTGCAGGGACAGGTGAGCAAATTTTTGCTTAATCAGTTGATCATAAATGGGTTGTAAACTCGCCATTTTCCGGCTACTTGTCAAAATTTATGAAATGATTAAGTGCCTTAAGTAAATTTTATTGATATGACGTACGTACGAGTACGTATTTATGTCTAGCTCTTGGGTATATTTACAGTTAAAAATATATGTCTAATCAAAATGTTTCACAGTACGATTATAAATATTGCATTAATAATGGACATTTTCATATCCAAGGGCGGAACCAGGTAGCGGCAAGCTTAGCTTGGCAGCTGTCCCCCTCCAAACACTCGCAAGTCTAAGTCGAATCAAAAAAAAAAAAAAAAAAAAAATTTGTGTGCGTAGTCGAGCTCGTAACTATGCTCTCCATTTCTCTACGAGATTCGCGATTTTCTGCGTTGATATTTTGAAGTAAGCGCAGCCTTCTTCTTCGTCAAGCGTGCCACATTCTTATTTTATAATAAAATTTTCACCCTGCATTCAAGTCCTGTCCGCAAGTCGTTAAAGTTTCTGTCCGCATCTCAAGTCATTCACATTCAAGCCTTACTGCCTCTGTTCCGCAGCAGCTGGACGGCATTTTTCGCACCAGCTGTTCCTGTGTGGGTGATGGTTACCAACCGCAGTGGTACGAAGACATCGATTCCCACGATTTTAAGAAATTTTTAGTTTGAGCAATTAGAATATTTTTGAGGTTTTTGGAGAGGGTTGCCAGCCCTAAATGCAAATTATTTATTAATTTAAATAAATTACTAAGAGATGGGTATCAATCGAAATGCGCTTGAAAAGGCTTTTTTTCTGAACATTATTGAAGAGGGTTGCCATGTTTTAAACAAATCAAATCAAATCAGTTAATCGAAATATGTATATATCACAATGTCAAACGAAAGAAGTTTAAGAAAATTTTAGTTTGAAAATAGTTTTAGAAATGGTTGCCACCTGGCTTAAAAGTCGAATTTGGTAAATTTATACCCAAGTTACAAACATACATATATGAAATACTAAAATATGGTTTTCAGGCAAAAACGATTTCAGTTTGAAAATAGTTTTTAAAAGGCTTACCGCCTGTTTTAAAAATCGAATTTACTTAAATTAGTTGCAAGTTAAATGAAATATTAAAATAGTGCCAAACGAAATAGTTTTAGACAACTTCAGTTTGAAAATAATTCTGATTAGGGTTGCCACCTTTTCTAAAAGTAATATCTATCTAACTATGTACTTAGAGTATATATATACACATATGTACATGGGTATCTTATTACATTAAACGAGCAATTCTTGTACATATATAGGCTTCTCGGAAACGGCTCTTACGATTTTGATGCAATTTTGTACACAGATAATGTTTTGTATTTCAAGGTTATCTGAATGGATATTATATCCGAGAAGACTCGTATAAGGTTGCCACCTATTCGAAATTAGCTACAAATTAATTAAAACATCATAATATGGTTATGAAATGGAAGGTATTTTAACAATACCTAATTAAAAAATATTTTTAATAGGGTTGCCACCTATTTTGAATCGCATATTTATTTAATTTTTTGTTTAGAAAAAAAAGGTTAACTATTACTATTCATGGGTATCATGAGAAGGTTCTTAAACAATGCTTCCCTATATACAAAGTATTGTCTCTTAAGATAATAGTGTAAGGTTGCCACTTATTTTCGATTCAACACAATTTATTTTAAACCTCGCAATATGATTATCAAATGAAAGGTATTGTTGAGAACTTTGGGCCGAAACTATTTTCGATCAGGGTTGCCACGCTGCTATATAATTAAAATTTTTATTTTGTTAATTTCAACAGCATTTTTTTTTTGTATGTACACACAGTGCATATACGCTCAAGATACGTACCAAGGCACATTAAACAGGTAGTATCAGTAGAGCAAAAACAACATTTGCGTGTATTTTGTTGTTGCTTCTGGTATCGAAAGTGTCAAAAACTGTTCTGAATTTTTTCTTCTAAATCAAAGCGCGCCATGTGAAATACAAAAAATTATAAAAAATAAAAAATTGAAATTGGAAAAAATAAAAATTGATGCAACTTTCTTTCCTAGTAAATTTGTTTGCTTCTCGAAGCATTGATCCATCCTTTACAAGGGCCAGTAATCAGCGGTTGTGCTGCTGAGTTGGGCGAACGTTCCAAAAGCTGCTATTCAATCGCTTGTTTTGTATGGAAAAAGGTTTCACATGCAAATGGATTTTAACAATTCAGAATTTTTGTGAGAAAAAATTAAAAATATTTGACATTTTCGAGACCAAATAATTTGAAAATAAATCAAATCAGCTGCTCTACTGATACTACCTGTTCAATGTACCTTGATACGTACTAGATATTCATTCAAGCGTATTTCTAAGTAGGGTTGCCATCTAAATTTTAAGGTAAGAAATTTACTTAATAGATATCGAAATCCAAATATTTTTTTTTATTTCCAAAATATTTTTTAAAGCTATCTAAATGGCCAGTATGACCAGATACCCAAACCTTGAAAACTTTAAAAAGTATATGCAAAGCTCGGTCAACCTGGTACTGTATATATAATAAGCGAAGGCATGTTTTACAAAGATCATCAGTGCTGCAGCGTTATTTCGAATTTGAAAAATTATATGTCAAATTTAAGGTACAACTTTTTTTTAGCGGTATAGGGTGATTTTGATACTATATGAAATGAAAAATGGGCACCATGGACCTCTCTTCGTTCAGAAATGGTGTATTTAGATGCAACATTTGTTAGGTTTTTGTAATAGGGTTGCCACCTGTTTAATTGATCCGTAGCTGCGCTAAGCGCAAATTATGTAACGCTCAATCGATTCTCAAAACAACGTCAGTCATAAGAGTGTAAAAATAGATTTACTTACAACAATTATACTCGTACTAAAATTTATTTACTATACACACATCCAAAGCATTTTTTTTTTGTTCTACAAAAAAATATATTTCCTATATGTAATTGGTGGCGAATATCGTACTCTTTGCCGTAACGGCCATGTTGAAGAATATGACGTACGTCCAACCCGAAAAGAATGTTTTTCTTGAGGTGCCGTGAATTCTGTTATCTCCTCTGTACTATCTTCCCAATCTTCAGCCTCCTCTGTTGTATCCTCATTGAAATATTGATATTTGCTATGATTCTTTTCATAGTCTTTTATTATTTTGTTAAACACTAGCATATTTGATGATTCATCCCACTGTTCGATGCCCGTCTCATCACTAATCCAATCCAGATATGAAGCAACTTTTGTAAATGCAGCTGGATAACCGAGATTACAGCCATGTATGCTACCGAATGATGT